GCGCTAGAGACGGAAAAAAAGGATATCTTTTAAACTGTTTATTGCTAATCACAATCCCACTACTAACACATTGTTCAATGTATCTGTATGTACACATATATATTATACAGTTCCATATCAAATTCTTAAGTTTTATCTTAGAAAATTTGTAGAATAATAAGGTATTTTCAGCTTTAAAAGCTTTAAATCCTTTTAGATAATCAATAATGTTCCTTATATGTATAATTTGAGAATTTATTGTAAATAACTTGCTTAACTAACTTAAAAGTCTTTATTGAATAATGTAATAATTATTGGTCTTAGTTTCGATATCTAGTCGTATTTCCATTTTTATTTAGTGGCTATATAATGCCGTATATTTCTGTTTTCCTCTGAAATAAATTCCTTTATTCATATTTTAATCGCAAACTATTCAAAATTAAGGCCAAAACTGCAAATATTTAGTTTATAAAATATAAAATATAAAACATATAAAATATCTGAATATTTTACAGAATTGCGTGAATAAAAAACAGAAAATTTCAACAGTCTTCGCCCCTCGAACTAATAGAGACGCGTGCCATTTTTTAAACATAATAACGTTCACTTTCAATGAATATTAAATTTTAATATTATATTTTCAGTCTTTAATTTAAGGCGCAGTACTACCTGATGTGAATATTTAAACACCGAAAGTCTGCTCGACCGTTTTTTTTATTAAATCACATTTTGTGAGTCGGCAAAGCGTGTTAATTTAGTGTTATCTATAGCTGCCTTAAAATCACATTTGATATTAAACTGCTTAAATTATAATATTCTTGATTAACGATTCATATCAACATTCGTCCTGAGTTTTTAACCAAATTTTTTAAATTTTTTTACAATTAATTTCCATCTTTCTCTGTACTGGGTTAAAGAAGTTGTTTGGCTTCATATAACTCTCGGTTAATCAGTATTTTTGTTTGATTCACCCTGGAGATCACAACTGGAGATTTTTCCTGGATAGTTTTCCTTCAACGCTGCCTTTGATTATCGGTTTGTTCATCGAACCTAGTCTTCTAACAATGTGTCCAAAATTTTGCAAACATCTCTGTTGTATTACTTTAAGTAATCTATCTTTTACTTTGAGTTATTCTAGTATTGATACATGTTGCGTTCTGCACATACGTTGACTTTTATATAACGTCATTTAGTAACTTCCTTTTCATTAAGTCTTTGTATGCATAAAAGCACTTATTACCGTTATGTATAGAGCAGTGGTCACATATGGATATGAAACGTGGACCCTCTCAACCACTAATGAAAATCAACTCAGAATATTTGAGCTCAAAATACTAAGTAAGACATTTGGACCAACCCAATGCAGCGACGGTTCGTGGAGATTTAAAATGAACCACACGCTGGATGAACTAATGTAGACCGCAGATATTGTTAAATTTTGTAAAGTCACAAAGACTAAACTGGCTTGGTCACCTAGAAAGAATGCCAGATAATCTAGCTTTAAAAGTAGTTCAGAGATGGTAGCCCCAAGGAAACAGAACAAGAGGAAGACCCCGTAAAAGAAGGATCTTAAAACCATGAAGATCAGGCAATGGCAAAGGAGAGTATCCGACAAGGCAGAATGGAAGAACATTATTAAGCAGGCCAAGACTCACAAAGGGTTGTAGCGCCATTAGAAGAAGAAAACGATATAGCCATCAGAAAGGCAGGAAAATATACATATATGTTCAATCTAGAGCTCGCTGGTTTCTCCATTTCACATTGGGTATGTATACTACCATAAAAAAATAAAAAGCAAGTGGACAATACAAAACTCTTTTTCAAAACAAGTAAAACCCAAAGACCAATATACATAAACAACCATACATTCATATATATTGAAACATAAATAGCTTTAATTTTAAGTATTTTATATATAAATATTTTATTTATAGTTATAGAAAGGAACAAATTGAAAAATTTTACGATGACATTTAAAAACCCCTACAAAATACTACATCTAGAGATATAACAGTAGTCATGGGTGATTTTAACTTCAAAGTTGGAGAAGGAAGATGTGGGTATACTGTAGGACCCTATGGACTCGGTGTTTGAAATGAGAGGAGAACGTCTTATAGAATTCTAGAATATAATCTTGCGGTAATGAATCCTTTCTTCTACTTATGCAGCAAAGATCTGACATTGGCCCTCAGAATAAGGCCAATTAAATGCTATGTACACAGTGTATTCTACTATGGACCTGAATCATGGACATTAAACCAAAATGTATTAAATCGACTTAACGCGTTTGAAAAGTGGACATTTAGAAAATTGTTAAGGATTCCATGGGTAGATAGAGTCACGAATAAAGAAGTGTTAAGCAGAACAGGCAGAGACAGGGAAATGGAAAATACAATAAAAGAAAGGAAATTGCAATATCTGGGACATGTGGTGAGAGGCGAAAGATACAACATCTTGAGGCTCATAATTCAAGGAAAAATAGAGGGTAGGAGAAGCGTAGGAAGAAGACACGTTTCCAGGTTGAAGAACCTGAGAGAGTTGTTTGGTTGCAACTCAATAGCCATAACCTTCGTCGCGAAATTGGCACTTAAAGAAGAAGAAGATATCAGAGCAGCAACCCTCCCTACTGGATGAAACAACTTTCTGTAACCGACTGATGGAACTCGTCCCTGTTGACCGAGCAGCCCTAATTCATACTGGCTGCAACGACTTTCTCTAACTGTCTGGTACTGACTAAGACGGCCGTTGGTTCATGAGTTCTGTTTTCCAAGTTGACGCTATGGGCTACTAGGCGATAATTACCCAGCGATCTGCACTTTTAACAAAAGCCATACAATTTTCAAAACAGTCTTTTGTCTGCAACAATGTATTTAATAATTGTTTATTGTTCGATAGCGTCTGTATTTTGCACGCGGAATTTTGGCTAAATATACGGAGAGAATCAAAATTACCAAAAAGTCTGTTAATATTTTACAATTGTCTTTTATATGTATATGTGGCTCAAGAAAATGTTACAGTCTTAATCTTGTGTGCACTGCTGATCGCGTTTTTCAAAATTGCTACCAGTTTCATCATGGCTCTTCTTGCAATAGTAAGCCTTTTACTTATCCCTTTATCACATCCTCCTTCGTTTGTTTTGAGAAACTTGAGTATATGAAACTTCATACTACTTCCAAGCCCCAATCTCGTTAGCGTGTTGAAGATTGTTCAGTACTCAGACTGCTTTTATAATTTTTGTCTTACTTCTATTTAGCTGTAGCTTATACATAAGCCCATTCGCCTTTCTTCTGCAAATGTCTAATTATATTTTCCATCATAACTGTCTCAACCAATACAGTTTTTGTGTTTGGAGTGAAACGATAGAGAAGATTCGCGTTAAGTTTAAGTTAGAACAATGTGTGTTTTTATTAAAACAGTTTCATTAAAAAGATTTTAAAGAAAAGATGGCCTAATATATCGCAATAACATGGTAGATTTATCCAAAAAGTTTGAACGGTCCGGTGGTGTTGAAGATGTAAAGCTTAGCGGCTGAACGCGTTAGGCGCGCACAGAAGACAATATCTTGGCAGTCGCGCAACAATTCCTTAAAAACTCTCGCTTCTCCATCAAACAGACATCGTTAAAACTTGGCATACTACCATATCGCACGCTTCGCAGGATTCTAAAAGATATCCGTTTTACGTTTATTGCTTGCATTTTCTACAGGAGCTAAAATCTTAGGATTTCCAGCCGATTATCGATTCCTGCGGGTGGTACCAAATCACGTGAGCAGCCGATCCATTTTTTCTAGAGATAAATTTAAAGTTAATGGCAGGGTAAATAAGCACACCTGTTTTTATGTGTCGATGCTCATCCTCACGAAATCATGAAAAAGGAAATGAATTCTGCTGGCGCTATGGTTTGAGCAGGAATTAATTATAGAGTGATTGTTGACTCCTTTTTTATTTCGACGGGTCCGTTAATTCAATAAGATACTTGTAGCTTTTACAAGAATTATGTGTAACTTTGTGTATACAGAATCGAAGAACGAAACATCATTTTCGAGCAGGCCAACGACCTTGCTCATTTTGGTCTAGACGTTCGCCCTAAACCAGCATTTTTCTAGATGCGTGCAAACGAAGCGTAGCCCCCAAGGTCGCTCAAATCAAATTTTTAATTTGGGATATGCTTAAAAACACAGTTTTTGTGCATACTATCAAAAACGTCGAAGATCTCTAACGAGTTAAATATCATCAATGAAGATATCGGGATGCTCACCCGCGTTATTAATTGAATCGTAAAACGTTACTGGAAGTGTATTGAGATTAATGATGAAAATTTTCCTCCTATATCCTTTATGCTTAGTCAGAATGTGGTGCTATCTATTGGGTGCACTTTATTGGGTCTGACCATCGAAGTGGCGATCTTCCTCGAGTTCTTTTACTATCTACCTTGCCTTCATCCACCAACCTCTCCATGCCTTCTATTCGTCTGGTAATGAGTCCAAAGTAACTCAATATATTTTAGGTTGATGATTATGGTAAGCCTAGTATTGATGTCGAGTTCTGTTAATATTGAGACAATTATGCGATGTGCTGCCCAGGGTATACGCATCATTCTACGATATACCCACATTTCAAAGGCCATTATACGTCGTGAGTCGGACTTTTTAATGGTCCAAGTTTCTGACGCATAAGTAACGAACATTTTAAACCCTAGTAAATACATATTTTTGAGCTTCAAGAAAATACATAAAAACAACGTTTACTTCATGTTTTTCAATTTTTTTGCAAAGGTAGCTGACTTCTACCCATGCCTATATGGGACAATATTATTATATCGGATAAAAAATTGTATATGTAAAAAATCGTAATTAAGTTAGTATTACATTTGCTTAGTGAGACCCCCTAAAAATATTTGTTCGCCAATGAACCCTTCCATAATAAATCTATTCAAATTTTTTTATTATTTGTTATTATGTTGTTTTTTTTTCTAGATTTTGATACTGCAACATCAATATGTAATAACTTATTTTTTTTTAGAAACGGTGTGATGAATTCGATTACACAGCTCCTTTGGAAGGTCAAACGAAAAAAGATATTGACGATCATTGGCGCAAACATACATTGTCGTGGATGAATATTGAAACAGGAGAAGTAAGTAATTTTTCACCACGTTCCTTGTCCTATGACCCATATATGGTTTATAATGATGCATTTTAATAACAGTCCTATTAGACGAGCGGCGAACGCCTAAAACGTATTTAGTTATCGATAAACCCATAACTCTTTGGTTACCGGACTAATTTAGTGTCAAAATGTTCATAATGAAAATCTGCACAACTTCTCTATGTACAATTTTTTGATTGTAAATAAATAAGAAGAAAAACAAAAAAAATATTTTATAATTTTAATGAAATTTTATATAACCAGTTTAAATATTTGTTTCTATTTTAATTGCATTTTCTTTTACTATTTCTATTATCTATTTTACTATTTCTACTATTTCTACTATTTCTATTATTCTATTATCTATTTTACTGCACACATCTCCCATCTACATATATTTATTTCCCAATTACTCTGTTGGAAACTTGTTGTATTCTTCACTAATTTTTGGGGAAAGCTTATTAAATTCCTTTCTCCAGAGGGTACAGTGCTAAATCTTTTAGGACCATGTAACTGTTAAATATATTCCTTCAATATAACTTAGCAGACCTCAAGGCGTGGTTCAATGTGTTTGGTTTTTTTTTGGTTGTATTTAAGAGGAAAGTAAAAAGTAATCGATTGATATAGCACATTTAAAAGATAGATATAGATCAGTTTAAAACATACTCCTAAGTCTTCCGATACCCAGTTGCCACTCCTCCCGACCCAACCATAAGTCTTCTTCTATGTCTCTGTCTTTCATGTCTCTATTGATGCCTTCTCTCCAACTAAGGCGGTGTCTTTTTTTTTCTACCGTAAGGGGTCACATTAAGACTTGTTTTGATCATCTGTTATTTATATGTCACGTTTGCAGATGCGTCTGCTAGATATCCGATTGTTGTCGGTTTTTTTAGCACAGATCAAAGTGTTTCGGTGCGGACGTCCGACGCCTTTCCACACATCTGACCTCTGACTTCTTCTTTTCCATTTTTTAATGATTCTATTCCGATGTACACTCAAGTATTAGCTGAACGTTTTAAATATATAAGGCATATAGTTGCGGCAGCTATGGTCTCAACATCTATATCCATTTTTTAATGCTCGCGTAGATATTGCGTTTTCTGGGAATTAACACAGACTGAACGATTTACAGATGTGTCTAGATGTGTGGTCAGCTTGTGATGATACATCTGCAGATGCGTTCGCAGACGCTTCTGCCGATGTGTAGTGGAGGCATTAGGGTTTGATACACCTCCGACCGGAGAGGATTCTGTAAAGAATCTGACTTGAAAGTGACGTTCTGTAAGGTATAATTTTAAGAGTAGTACGTCAGGAGTGGAAAAGGATGACTAAAATTTATACAGAACGCAGTCATGCCAAACACGGTCGAAGGCTTGTTCTCTATCCAGGAAGGCAACAGTGCAATTTTTTTTCTCTTCGAGGCATACATTAATATTTTTAACAATCCTATGACAATGTTGTAGAGTTAAATGGACTTCGCGAAATCCAAACTGGTGTGTTGAGATCACTGAATTAATTTCGATGTCTTCTGAGATTCTTTGGAGCAGAAGTTTTTCTAAGATTTTTGACATTATTGGAAGTAAGCTGATTGGTCTATATGAAGTAGTAATATTTGGATATTTGGTTTACTAATCATAATTATTTGTGCGAACTTCCAATTAATCAGGCAGTAGGCTAATCTTATGATACTATTATATATCATTGTTAGTAGGACAATTGCTTTTCTTGGTAATTTTTTTAATATTAGCCCGGTGATCATGTCGAAGCTTGGTGCGTTGTAGTTATTGCATCTAGAAATTTTTTCTTTCAAATTATGAGGAGTAAAGCATTTGATTGGTAGCATCATTGGGCATGAAGTGTCTAAGAAGTTTTTAACTTGTTCTTCATTATTATTGTTATTAAGTTCAGGTGCACCAAAAACGTGTGAGAGATGTGCAGCAAAGATTGATGCCTTTTCTTGTTTAGTTTTTCTCCAGCTTCTATCGGCTTTACTTAGAGGTATTATGTGCTGTGTAGACCTCTTGAATGATTTAGTTGCTTTTCAGAGGCTGTAGTCTTTTTTTAACAGGCTGTTGATGAATAGATCAAATGTATCATTACTCGCGTCTTGTAGAGCAGTTTTAAGTTGCCGACGGCAACGTTGTGTCGGGTATGTTGGTGTCACTTGGTTCTTTATCATTCTTAGAGGGTGTAGATATTTCAGCAGTTGCTTGTATAGTTTGGGTAAGAAAATGCAAAACATTATCGATATCGTCTGGTTGCTTTAATCTTATATTTAAATTTAAATTTTCATTTATGTAAGACTCGAATACATTCAAGTTGGTCTTTGATGTTGTCCACTTTTGGGATATTTGGACGTTTTATAATTTGCGTAAATAGTGTGACAATTATGGAAGTATGGTCGATGGACAGATCCCAGGATGCTTATGTCAAAATAATTTAAGGCCATGCTATGGAGGATAAAGAAGTCGAGTAGATCTAGGATTTTGTTTGGATCTGATGGCCAATAGGTTGGTTGCCCTCTCGATAAGTAAGAGCTGTTTGTGTTAGCTATGACTTGTCTGAGATTTTTTCCCTTTGTCGTGCACAGTCTTGACCCCTAGTCTGTCTGCTTGGTATTCCAGTCACCTCCAATTAAGAATTTGTTTAATAGATGTTTAAAGAAGTCTTCATATTCTGCTGTGGTGATAATATGCCTTGGAGGGCTGTACATTGCCGCAATGTCAAAATACCATGGTTGAGAACTGGTACAGATTACTACAGCTTATATTTTTTCCGTCTAATACATTGTTTCCTCATAGTGTGGTATGGTGTTACGTACAATAATAGCAGCGCCACCGTGTGCTGTTGCATCAGGATGGTTGGTGTTGTAAAGAGAATAATGAGGGATCTTGTACATCGTTCTGTCAGTGAAACTTCGGTGTTATGGTTGCCTAGGCCGTTGGCATTCCATTGTGCAATTCGTAGTGATTTAAGTTCTATTACTTAATTTATTTATTACTGTCGAAAGCATGTTTAACATCACATTTTGATTTATTAGTTGTGAAAACAGCTTAGAATTCGTTAAGGAAACTCTTTATCATCTCTCCAATGTCACTGTTTGTATTAATTACATGTGTTTCACTTTTTATTATATTAATAGCCACTGTATGATGTAGATTACGAATTACAAGCTCTGTATGCTCTATCCTCTTGCATTTGGTACGTACGATGCACACATTGTTTACTGTTTAAACATCTTAAGAGTATTCGGTATGTTTCAGAGTCCCGGGAATGTATTTTTATTGCGTTGTTTTTTAATGCTGTACAATAGAATCTCTCTATAACATGTCAGTAACACCATATATACAAATTGGTGGGGGTTTAGAGGTTGATAGAGTTTCGTTGGTATTTTCTGTACTATTATTATTGTCGTTTTCGTTTTCATTTTGCAGAATCTGAAATTTATTGATGGTTACTACCGTATCTACATTTTTAGTTGATGTCGGAGGATTAATTTTACGTTTTTTGTTACTATGTTGTATAGTTTGCCATTTGTGGATATCCGATGACTCAATGTCGCTGATTTTCTCTGACGATTGTTCACTTTGTAATGTATGTGTCATCTCAATAGAATTAGAAGTTTTATTTTGAGGTGTACATAATGTGGGATTAATTTCAGGATTGTATTGACAGTTTGATGAAGATTGTGATATTACTTGGTTAGGAACATAATATATTGTTGTTGGTGGGTTGTTTAAAATTTGTACTGAATTTGGATATCAATTTTGTGTAAAAAGGACATTTGGGCATTCTGGTTGAATTTTCTGTTGCTGATATTGAATATGTATAGGTTGACCATTAACAGTAGCAGTATAAAAACTAAAATTCACCGATAAATCTGGTGAAGCACTCATTTTAATTGTTAAACTGTATATTTTTAAATAGTTTGTAAAAAGTATATCCACTTGATACAGGATAATGACGGTAAAAACGAGGCCGGAGGCCATTTTTAATCATCACAATATACTTCCGCCTAATTCGTATTGATGTTTACAGGTCGAGAGTCAAATAAATACCCAAGCCGATACTTATGAAAACAAAAAAAAAAACTAATATTAATACAACTTGTTGTTTGTGCAACATACTCTGTAATTAAAAAAATATAATTTTTTAAATATATAAACCAATTTAATCGGTGCACGTTACATATTTTGAGTGAACGAGGTTCCCATTTATCTCATTTTTAACGGAAATTAACCATTGTATATTATGTCAAAAATCAAAATATTTGAACCGAGCTGGGAGAGTATGAAATAAATACAAAATTTTATTAAAATTATTAAATCAATATTTTTACTTTTTACTTGTTTATTTACATTCACGCCACTTAAAAAAATGTGCAGATTTTTATTACGAACATTTTGGTGTCAAATTTGCTATAAAGCCAAAGAATTATAGGTGATAGTCATTTTTTGAGAGTTCGTCTCTTGTCCATAAGAGTATACAGTGATGAGTGCCTTACCACCCGGCTTTTTAACGTAAGAGATAGAAAACACAGTTACCTTGTAAAATAAAAAGAGATGAAATTCGTAGAGGTGGGAAATAATCGATAGAAACCTATAATTTACATTACATTACATTACCACTATCGATAGTCTCACACCTTTAGACGTTAGTTTCGAGCTAAATCACCCCGGTAATAATTATTATGTTTGACATCGTATGTGTGACGTATTTCCATTTTTTAATTTCGCATAAAGTAAAAACTGATTGACCACAATAAAGCAAAAATGTGAATAAATTAATTTAATTAATAGTAATTATTTAATCTAAAGTTTTAAATTATTAACCAAGAATAATTTTTACTATGATTTGAGGAGTTTCATACATTCTTGTCACTAATTGTTTTCGCATAGAACATACCTACCTTTATTTTAGTCAAATATTTCAGTTGAGTTATTTTTATTATTAAATAAACTGAAAGATTTATAATTTAAAATCGCTCCTAAATTAATGTTTTTTACTATATTATATCTTAATTTATTTAATTATTTATTCTAACATAAGAAATTATTAAAATAAAATATTTTCGAGGTTATCCGTATAATTATGACTGAAGTCAAATAGCCACGTCTAACGTCTAAAGGTGTGAGACTAGCGATAGTGGTAATGTAATGTAATGTAATGTAAATTATAGGTTTCTATCAATTATTTCCCACCTTTACGAGTTTCATCTCTTTTTATTTCACAAGGTAACTGTGCTTTCTATCTCGTGCGGTAAAAAGCCGGGTGGTAAGGCACTCATCACTGTATATGTCTGACATTATAATCAGTTTATTGGCATTTAATTTGGATAGAGTTTAGGTATTAAAAGTTTTTTGACTTTACTTCAAATAGAGTTTGTTTTGACATTTCGATTTCCACTTCGGACATCCTTCTTGAAATACTTTTGTATTTTTTCCGGAAATAAGTCACAATTTAACTTAAATATTATATTTTAAAATAAAATACAAATTCTCAACGTGGAACTCCACACATTAAAATAAACTTATTTTATAATTATTTTGAAGCTATTTTCTTGTATTGCATCTTAATACAATTTACTATTTTTATTGGGAATGAGCCCCATTTTTCTTTAAAATAATTTTATGTTCTGTTTCGTTTTCCACTTAAAATCGTTATTTTATTTTAAAGTAAAGGGAAGGATGAAAGAATGTTTTGAAGCAGGCCAAGGCTCACAAAGGGCTGTAGCGTCAACTGATGATGAAAATAAAATATTATTTTAAAATAAAATTGTGGCTTATTCCCAATAGCAATAGTAAATTATATTAAGATGCCACAAGAAAATAGCTTCCGAACAATATATACAATTATGTATGCATATGACCCATATACGGCTCATAGTTTTATGAAAAACGATAATTTATTTATTAAGCTGGCGTATGAGTTTTGTTTATAAACAAAGGGAACAGTACATTACAAACAGTAAATAACAATAAATAATTTTAAGAGACACACATTTAGTTGTCAAATTTAATATATTCAATTGACTTATTATGACTTGGCTGTAAGTTTGTAACTATTTATTGTTTTAGATATGTTTTACCTTCAGACCTGTAATTGACGAAACTTTGGATCCGAATGAAGTCCAGACTGTTCCTCCCAAACCCAGAGTATATTAGTTTTAGCTAAAATTAAACGTTTCCGAAGGTTTTTAAATAAATATTATAAAATAAACTTTTTCTTTATTTTTTTATAACGCAAGTTTTAGGGCGTCTCTTTATATGCATTAAGCCTTAGAAAATACCCACAATATTACCATAGGAAAACAAACTTTGAGAAATAATTTAAATAAAGCTGACCTGAACGTCAAGTCGAGTGAGGATGTGCATATTACGTCATGTAAATCATGGACTCAGATTAAGGTGGGCATAACACCATGCGCAGTGGGGCTTAGAAGAATGGAGTTCTGTATTATTCACAGATGAAGCTAGGTTTTGTTTTTACTCTAATTCAAAAAGAGTGAAAGCTTGGAGGAGACCTGGTCGACAAGAGAGACTCAGTACTGGTTGTTCATCCATATATTGATCTACAAGTTATGATGTGGGCTGGAATAATTTTTTATCATCGAACTGTTGTAGAAGGCAATTATAATCATTCTCAATATATTGATCGTATCTAAGAACCTGTTATCCCTTAATTTTCCAGTACTGCAGGTCCAGCAGAAATAGTAAGATATTCGTTTCATAATGAGGATCTTACACTTTTACCATGACCAGAACAATCTTAATCTTAAACGTGGCCGTTAGATCTTAATCCCATCAATCATGTATGGGATATGCTTCGGAGACAGATTGCTTCTTGTTTGCAGAATGTTTATACTAGACAAAATCTTTTTAAACAGGAATGGATTCTATTACCAAAAACAAAATTAGTTAATTAATTTTAAGCATGCCAAGGAAATGTGCAGCTATGTTGACTGGAAAGACATTGCAGTCATTTGTCGATCTTTTCATACAAATGTCCAACAGGAGTAATGACTGTTTTTTTTAATTGTTAAATTGTTGTCTTATGTTTATTTAGTTATCGTATGACGTACAATAGGAACACGTAATTAAAAAATGGATATAAAACGTTACATGAAGTATTACAAACGAACATCTAATGTAATATTAATATAATGTAAAACATTTTCGGTCGCATTAAGCAACTCATCAAAAACTCCAGGGTATCGCCTTCGGAGGCATTCTTCAACAATGTGACGGACGGTCTGTCGTTGCTCTCCACAGGCACACTCAGGAGTAAGGGCTTTTCCCCATCTAAATAAGCTGTCAGCACATCTACCGCTTCTTGTTCTTATTCTGATTAGCGTTGTCCATGTATTGCTGGTCAGTTCAAAGCCTGGCGGTTTCTGATCGATACAGACCATTTGATGTGCTTCCTGTGGTGAGTCGCTCTCCCATTATCTTCTCCAAGCGTTGGTTAGGTTGAAGTGTTCCTGATGTAAGGAGTTGGCTCTTAGCAATGGAGGATATCTATGACGCAGTCTATTTATTTTGATATTAACCTTATCATGGTGGATGGATAGTTGATGGTTAGCCTCGATTTTTCAATATTCTCTGAGAAAAGAATTATTTCTTCGCAGTTTTGGCGGTGGAATATGACTCAGAATGGGAAGCCAATAGTTTGGTGTGGGTCTAATTGTACCTGAGATCATTCAAATTGTCTGATTTAATTGGGTGCCAATAATCTTCGTGTGTTTGCTATTGAGCCATACCGGGGAAGCATATTCAGCCACCGAGTATACAAGTTCGAGAGCGGATGATCTGAGTATGGAGGCTAAGAAACCCCCATGTAGTGCCACGTAGCTTTTGTATTATATTATGTCTCGTTTTCAGTTGTGCTGTCGTTCTTTAAAGATTTTTTTTAAAACTTATTGTTCTGTCCAGAGTCACCCAAGATATTTTATAGCAAGCAGTCTGTTTTCGAATTGGACGGAGAGTTTTTTGTTGGCTTGGGCATTATTCAGATGGAAACAGCACACTTCGGTTTTCCTTGCATTGGGCCGTAGCCTCCATTTGCGAAAGTATTCTCCCATAATGGCAAGCTCATCCGCTAGTATTGTTTCTGTGATATCCATGTTATTATGTCTTGCTGCAATGGTCCAATCGTCAGCGTAGCCAAATTTCTGCGAAGTTGTCCTAGGTAGGTCCGCAATATATGTTGTCTTATAGACTTTTCGATATAAAAATTAGATTATAATTTATTTTATCCGATTCAACTTAAAATAACTATATGTTTCTTGTAGTATATATATGTATTATTAATCCTAAAATCTCAAATTGTTGTCCACTAAAAACGTATCGTACTTTTTTCAAAAGCAATGTTCAATAAATATCGGTCTCTTGGACCAGCTTAACTATGCATGTCCTGAAAATCTATGCGACTACAGAAGATTAAATAATATTAATTAGTAAAATTGCTTGTTTCCCAATATGATGGAAATAAAGAAGGTAATTTTACAACTTTACGTTGTGAGCTTTTTATTCGCTAGGCTCTAAATTGTAGTCAATTTGGTCAGCCAGCCGTGAATGTCAGTTACAATGAACGAAGAGCAAACATTATTTAATTCGGTAAATGGACCCCTTACCTGCAATATAAGCCTCCCGAAACATAAAAGGAATCAAAAAGCGCCACACTTCAGTCCCTTCCAGACCAATACACGAAAATATGTACGGACATACATTAACTAGGCTTATAAAGGATTAAACAAGGGTTGAAATAACGCCGTAGGATTTTTCTGGTGCGCAAGGTTAATGTCGGAATCCTCCAGATAAACCGGCTGGGTTTGCAATTAGCAATGCTTTTAATTATATCCGTATTAGGAGAATAAAACTGGATGAGGAGATTATTTAATTAGCAGCGACAATTGAAGTGTCGTCGGCCGATGCTCGAGGTGCAAAAACTTCGGTACAATATTAATTTTAACATTTTAATCAAATTCATAATTATATCGTTCTTTTAAAAAGATAATTACATTTAAATTAGTTTAGCTAATGGATACAAACTAATTATGAATTCTTTGTAGCTTAATTTTTTTAAAGGGTGAATATTTAAATATTCATTTTTTAAAAAAGTTAACATCTTTTAGCTGCTAAAAATTTTAAAAGAGGCTTTTCATAAAAATTTGATCTCAAGGCATAAAATATTCTACAGAAGACAACGGACCGATATAATAATTAATTAAAAGCCTAAGAAAATATATTTCGGATCTTTTTGCTTATAAAATCCTGATTTTTATATTACAAATGTTTTGTGTTTTTAACCTTATTGGCAAAACAACTATTAACATTAAAAAAAATTAAAAATAAAAAGTTGTTTGGTTTCTTGAGAAGTAGTTTGTTTTACAATGTGATCAATTTTTGTTTTGTTTGTGTTACAATCATTCTTTATAAAAAGACCAAAATGGCGGTAAGTAGTTTAACAATCATCATAACAATAGAATAAAATAAATTGAAAAAGAACGAACTTGTCGAAATTTAAGTTAATTTTAGGTTACCACTGACAGTGACAAACATTCAGTTAATAAATTATGAAAATAAACTCAGTGATAAAGCTACGATAAAACTAAACGAAGATAAAGAACACAACTGAGTTGCTTCCATACAGTCCTTGTAGACACACCGTCTCAGGACTAGCAACTTCAACGTGGAGTCATATGTCGCCATATCTTATCCATGAACCTTATCTTATCCTTATGAACCTTATCCAACGGTAACTTCAACATCATAACATATTATAAGAAATATCGTATAACAAATGTAATTAATTATTTGTTAATGGGTTTTTACCCATTTATTTAGTGGCTACATTCATGTACTCCTAGACACTGATGATGGATATGGATTTCGAAAACGTTTTGTTTAATTAGCCCTTTAGGGTTTTTTAATAAAAAATTTTTAATATATGGTATACAGCCAACTACAGAAACGTAGATTCCTTGTGGATATTGGTATATGACTTTTTTGTATATTTTATGTTTTTTTTTATATTATGCGCATTACATTTTCATCTATTGTATTTTATGTATGTTATATATTATCTTTTTTACTTATACATATAATTGACTTACTACAAACAAATGTAAAATTTGTAAACGTAGTTAGATAAATCTTGAATCTTGGTTAACTGGCCAATTGAAAATTAAACCAGATTAGATCTTAAAACAACCAACAAGGCAACTCTTGGTCTTCGTTGAGACTACATGACTTATTGGAGTTTATTGAAAAAAAAAAACTGGATATGAAATAAATATATTATGCCTTAGTTTAATTAAATATTTATGACCAGAGATCAACGTGTCTCAACTGAATTATAACCAAGTAGAGTGGGTCTAATTAAAATTGATTAGACTAAAGATGAAGACCAACGGCTGCGGGCGGATGAGTTAATAAGTGGAAGGGCACTCTTTTGTCCAAGGGTTGGGAAACTGGTCCTAAAGGCGGATGAATCGAAAAATATGTCAACGGCGTAAGGATGCAGAGGGCAACGGGGAACCACTGCATTAAAGACTCTTAGAGTACCCCTAGTAAAGTCATGAATGGCAAATGACAAGTAGAGTAAACAAACTTACTGATTATGGAGCACGGAATCCAAGATCCGGCAGGGGAGGAATAACTCTAGATCACAGGGCCTCCCAGGTCGTAAACCAGAGAAATCCCTGTGGACTTAAGTCATTGAAAATAGCAAGCTGGAATATCAGAAGTTTATATGCAAGTGGTAAATTAGCGAACGTACTGCTTAAAATGGAAAACCTCCAAATTGATGTTTTAGGTATAAGTGACGTACAGTGGCCAGGTTCAGGCAAACAAATTACAAATAATGGAACCATGTATTATTCAGGTAACAACGAGGTCAATCATCGCTATGGTGTTGCTATCTTAGTTGCAAAAAGGTCAATTACTCTGTGGTAAGTTTTACTCCTTATTCTGATAGGATCTTATCAATACAACTACAGTCTAAAAAAGGTATATTAAATTTTATTCAAGTTTATGCTCCTACGGCAGATAAAGATGACGACGATATCGAACTGTTTTACCATGATTTGGAACAAGTCTTTAAAATCAATGAAGAAACATCACACTACAATAGTAATGGGCGACTTCAATGCCAAAGTTGGCCAGGGAAGAGTGGAAGGATATGTGGGGGAATATGGTCTAGGAAATAGAA